GCCGCTGTCAACCGAAAATGCCGGATCACTTGCGGCGAGCACAGCAAGCAGATGCTCTGTTCAATAAAGACATCATTCCATTTGTCGCTATTTTGTTTCCTTCTTTGAATGTTTTCTGGCCGCGAAGTAAATGCAGCCGGCCTCGCGAAAGCAATCGCGGACAAACCTCCTGGAATGCGCCCCCCCCCCCCCCCTTCCCTCACATCGTCGCCCATACTCATACTAGGTGCGGTGCCGGTGCTTCGAGGCGCGTTTCGGAGTGCTTTGTGCGCACGGAAGGCAGCGAACGGGCGTACGCACTTGAGAATCGTATTTTAGCAAAAAGCAGTCCAGCTCGCTAGGCCTTACTCGTATTGCTCCACTGTCGCTTGCCAGCCGCCATGTTGCTTTTGGGGGTGCTCATGTGAGCACCTGCTGATTGCGTGCCGTGTGACTGCCCATGGGGTTGTTAGTATAACGAAGGGGGGGTAGCGATATCTGTGACGGCTTCTGACTACCCCAAGTGTAGTACCCTAGGACAACCCTTTTGTTGAGAGTGTGGTGCCCTAAGAAGTAAAAAAAAAAAAAGCGTTCGGATTCTTTTTTCGGGGGGGGGGGGGGGGTGAGGGAGGGGGAGGGGGGGGAGGGGGGGAGGGGGCGGAGTATTTCTCAAGAAATGTAACGAAATACATTTCACCCTGATTGTATCGCGATACAGAGGAACATTCAAAATGTATTTCGATACAGAAATACAGATACTGGTGAAAAAAAAATGTATCGCGATACAGAAATACAGATACGAAATGTATTCCTGAAATAGTATCGCGATACATTTTTATCGCGATACTGCCCAACCCTGGACGCCAGTACGTCGTCCAGCTCATCAGCTACCTCTGGGGGAAGAGCGGAAACCACATGGTAGTAGCGGGCGGTCTGGCTTGTGATATGCCGCAGGTGGAATTGCGCTTCCACTTGGGAAAACCAGGCCCGAGGGTTTTTCGCCCAGAAGGCTGGAAGGCGGAGGTGGACGGTGGAGAAAGCTCCGTCGCCGTTGGAAGAGGTGCCAGCAGCACTCTGGTTCATGTTGGTCGGACGTTCGGAGTCACCAGTTTGTCGGCGGTGTTCTATAAACACCGGAGGAAAAATGCAGGCGTGCGAACCAGAGCTTTGGCTAGAGTCAACTTCTTTCTCTTTATTTTCCTGGCTCCCAAGCCTCGAGCGCTAGCAGAGGCTGGCGCTCGTGAGAACCAGCATTGCGAGTCTAGCGCATCTGTCTGTGTCACTATAAGCTCATCAAAAAGAGGTCTCACCGAGATTTGAACTCGATTGCTGGATTCAGAGTCCAGAGTGCTAACCGTTACACCATGAGACCCAACCCTTCCGACGCCCGGAATCGAACCCGGGCCTCCTGGGTGAAAGCCAGGTATCCTAGCCACTAGACCACTTTTTTTTTTTTTCTTTATTGGACACAATGTGCAGCATACAAATGCCATGTCAATATTCATACAAACCGCCCAAAAACTCATGGGCTAACTAAAAGTCCTTCATATGTTTACACAATTCAAACAAGTGTGCCCAGTCAGGCGCTGTGTCAGGAGTCCTGCAGTACACAGACTGGACCTGAGTTACCACATCAATAAAATGAAAACGTGCCTGTTTAACTTGCAGGTCTGCATGACGCAGTTCCATTCGGGTTTTCCATAGACTCAACAGACCCAGGACTATAAACATATCATAGGGGACCGTGTCCCCTTTATCGACTGGAAGGAAACGAATTGTTTCATGCGTTATAACCAAGTCCTTTTTCAACGTTCTCTGTAGTATGTCCCAAAAGAAGACCGCGTCCCAACAATAAATGAAAATGTGCTCTATTGTTTCTGGCGTCTTGCACAGGAGACAATCAATCGACCAAGGAACGAAAAGACCCTTTTCCTCCAACCATGGTTTGACAGGCAATGTACCGCTATGAAGTTTAAAGAAAAATGATTTGACAACGGGCGGGACAGCCATCTTTTTGACGCGACACAACACATCTTGTCCCGGACAATGGCTAAAAACTGAGCGGTACAGGGGCGTGGGAAAAAGAATTTCAACTAAATCCCTTGACAACTTCTTTTTCTTGACGCTATTAAGGTATTCCATAGAAAATCGCGATTGTAAAAATAAAGCAGCATCCTTCACTTCTTTCAAAAATCCAACCAGACTCAGAGGTTTACCACAATCACTGGTAACTAACATGGCGGGCAGGGAATTAGCTAGTTTCATCTGGATAACAGTGCGCAGAAACGGGTGGTTCTGATCACGCAGAAAACAGAAACGTGAAACTAGTTGTCTAACGTACAAGTGCGTGAGTCCCAGTCCCCCGGTCTTGACGCGGCGAAAGAGGTTGTCTCTTCGCATCCTCTCCCAGCTGGATTTCCATATAAAAGTGGCAAAAACTCTATGAAACTTTTGGATGCTTATGCGTTTACACGCCAGAACCTGTAAAACGTACCATAGCTTCGCTATGAGGAAGATGTTGCATACCGTGGCACGGGTGAAAATAGATATATCCCGAGTAACCCACGTGGCGGTCTTTGATTTTAAATCCTCCAAAACTTCGGTCCAATAGGGTGTGCTGTCCTTGTAGTGTTGTAACGGCACCCCGAGATAGGTGGTTGGAGTGCTTGTCCAGTCAATTCTTGCAAAAGACAATGGCTTTGAGGTCCAATTGCCGTGCCAGAACCCGCAACACTTCCCCCAGTTGACCGCGGCTCCTGTGGCATCACAATACTCATTTGTGATCTTCACAGTTTCCTCTATGCTTTCTTTATCACTGCAAAAAACGGCAACATCGTCCGCATATGCTGATACTTTAACTTCCACCGTGTTTAAGGTGAAGCCTCGAATACTTTTGCAGGCTGCAATTTTCAGGCAAAAAGGTTCTAAGTATAATGAGAAAAGTAGAGGCGACAAAGGACAGCCCTGTCGCACCGATGTCTTGACTTCTATGCGTCTTGATAAAGAATTGTTTATTACCAGTCTTGTACCACAGTTATCATAAGCCATGGTCACGCCTTCCAAGATTAGGTCCCCAACATTTACGTGTGATAAAATCCGCTTCAGCACGTCGTGCCGAACCCTATCGAAAGCTTTTTCGAAATCCAACTGAATCATGGCCACGCGGCTACCCCCCACTGTTTCTAAAATACTCCTTGCTACGTGTATGTTTGTTTGTATAGACCTCCCTTGTATGCCACAAGTTTGGTGATCTCCAATAAGGTCAACGATGACTTTCTGAAGGCGGCGCGTGAGGACTTTTGTAAATATTTTATAGTCTGTGTTGCACAACGAAATAGGCCTATAGCCTGTTACACTGCGTTTTTTGACTTCGTCGTCCGACTTCGGTATAAAAATTGTATGGGCCTCAGAAAATGAACGTGGCAATTTATGTTTTTTGTAGGCTTCTTGAAATACCGAAAGCAGTAAGGGGCTGACAGATTTTTTGAAACATTGATAAAATTCCGCACACAGGCCATCGGGCCCCGGCGTTTTCTGTCGCGCTAACGAATCAATAACTAGCTCGATCTCTCCTATGGTTATGTCTCCTTCTAGCCATGTTTTCGCGTCCTCGCTTAGTTGGGGCATGAGAGCAAGGAAGTCATCTAGATTTTGAAAACCTTTAGGAGGCGACCGTTCGCCAAAGAGCTTATTATAATAGTCGACAAAGCCTTGCTGAATGACCTCTTTATCCCTGCTTATTGCCCCATTAACCTCAATTTCACGGATTTCCTTTGACAACGCATATTTCTTTTCATCGGACAAAGCTCGCTTGGTGGGCTGCTCCCCCAATAGGTACTTCTCAGACCGTGAACGTATTACTGCCCCTTTGTACTTTTCTTGGTATATGTTGTCTAGCTCTGCCTTAATGTTTCGTATATCTTCCATGCTTGTTCCTGGTTTTTGGCTCTCTAAGCGGTGAAGTGCTTCCAGGTTCCGTTTTAGTTGTTTTTCGCGCTCCTTGCGTTGAAAAAGAATGTTGCTCAATCTTTCGATCGCTACCAATTTCACTTCCTCTTTTAATACTTCCCACATTTCGCCTAAGTCGCCGTCCCTTTTGCTAACGTCACGCAGTAGTCCGTCTACAGTATCAATGAACTTTTCGTCCTTAAGTAGTGTTCTGTTGATCTTCCAGAGGCCCCAATTGAACTTTGAGGCTGCGCTTTCTTTTTTCTCTATTTTAAAGCTTACGAGGCAATAGTCCGAGAAAAAAAACTGGTTGGACGCTATACTCACGCACTTGTAATAGGTCACACGATAAATAAATACGGTCAAGACGAGCGTGGGAAGAAGCTTGAAAATGGGTGTAGCGCAGACTATGCGTTGGTGCGCACGATCCGCCTACGTCATCCAGGCCACAAGAGATTACCATGTCTCTCAAAACGCTCACGCTGTTATTACTTATCGCTGTCTGCGAGGACTTATCGCTCTCATCGCAAACACAGTTAAAATCACCCATCAGAACAACTGTTCTGTCACAGTATACGTAACTGTGTAGAGACTGAAAAAACTGTTCTCTGTCTCCCGCATTATTCGGTGCGTATACACATATAACCCGCCACTGAACACTTGCCAAATTAAAATCGCATAAAATAAAACGTCCGCGATCATCTGTAGTAACATGTAAGTTCGAAAGATTGATGGATTTTTTCAGAAAAAGGAAACATCCCGCCGAAAAACCAACCGCCTGACTCACGCACACTTCATATTTGAAAAGAAAAGGCTTTAGCGCAATCGCAATGTCATTATCACTTTCCATTTTAGTTTCTTGCACTGCAAGAAAATCCGGATTCGCGTCAGATAACAAGCGTTGCAACTGGTACTGCTTCTTCCTCGAATTTAAACCACGTATATTGAGGGTGGCAAATATGAGGGCTATATTAAAATTGGCGGAGATTAAAGCAAAAACCGTGCAACTACACTGTCATTCTGACATAGAAAAAAACCCACTCACGACCCTAGTGTTCTTTTTTCTGGTCACCTCACCGCGGTTCTTCCCGAGGCTTGACCTCCACCGAGGTTCGAGGCCTTCCTCCTTGGTATTTGCCCCTCTTGGACATGACCGTTCTCCACCTTTCGAGCACCGTGTTCTGGAGCTCCGCTGGGTGCTCGTCGTCCGGTGTAGCTGATGGCGGGAGAGGCCGCTTGGCAGAGCCGTCCACGGCCTCCATTTGGACGCCGTCGTCCTCGTGGTCCGCCTTTTGGGCGGGGGCTACTGACGCCCGGTGTGCCTGGTGTTCGTCTTCTTTGCCGTCGGGTTCTTGGGGCGGCAGAGGGTGAGTAGGCCCGCTGCCTGCCGTTTCTCGCGTTGGAGTGACGTTCGCTTGGGTTTTCACCTCAGCTGGGGGTACCTGGGGTTGGGCTGAAGAAATACTTGCGGATGTTCCACCCTGACCCCGAGGTTCCGGGTTGATGGTGGTCCCTCCGGCTTCTGCCGTCGCCGCTTCCGCCTCGACCTGGTCCATGATGTGTTCCGCCAGGTCTTCTTCCGCCCCCGCGTGAGCCACGACGGCGTATGTCCTGACACACTCGCTTCTAGTGTGCCCGAAGCGTCGACAGCCTTCACAGCGGGGCACACGACACTCCTTCCGGATGTGGCCGGTCTTGCGGCACCGAAGGCAGAGCGGTGCCCGTCCTGGCGCCAGGACCAGCGCAGTGCAGCCAACGAGCCGGAGCTGATGCGGCAGGTGCTCAATGGTGACGCCCACTTTTAGGGTTAGTCTCACCGTCCTCGTGGTCGACTGGACTCCCTCGAATCCGCCGACGCGCCAGGTCTCTCGGGAAACTTCCTCGACTTTGCCGAAAGGTTCCAGGGCTCGCTTTACGCAGTCGTCGGGCAGGTAGAACGGAATCCAATGCAACTTGAGGCGCACCTCCGCCCGGTCCGGGTCGAGGATGATGCACTGTCTGCCTTTAACTTCGAAGGCCTTGACGTCAGCCAACTTCTTTTTGGCAGCGGGTGTCTTCAGGGTCGCCAGCCATACGTGGTTCATCTGAAATGAACCAAACGCAGCTATGTCCTTGAGCACTCCTGCGTTCTCCAGCCCGGCCTTGAAATCTTCGATCCGGTACGGTCTTGCTCCGATATCGGCGTGCAAAAAGACAGAATTTAGCAGATGCTCGCCCGCCGGGATCGGGGGCATGATAATCCTGTAGTCCTCGCTGCTGCGTTCATCCTTGAAACCACGGCTATCAGCGGCCGTTGATACCGCTCCGACGGAGCTCATTGCGATACGTCTGCTCGCCTCGAAAGCCAAACGACGAATCCTAGCCACTAGACCACGCCGGAACGGGAACACCTGAAAGACATTTGCTTTATATCCGAGTCGGCACGAACCCGGGGAGTGGGCACGGCGAAAATGCTACGACAATGACACCTAACATACCACTCCTGTTTGCTTTGCAGTTTCTTCTCGAGGCGAGTGACAGTGGCCTTCAATCCTTCTACCCGAAAGCGACCAACGCAACGTCCGTGATGACAAAGACAGCACCGCTGATTACCCTGGCCACCCCCCTCGATGGCGATGAATTCACCGTTGGAGCGATACCAGGATTTCTGCCGCCAGTGTCGCCTGACACGCAAGCCCCACCAGCATCGACATCAAGCACACTGCCTTCAAAAGCTTTCTCGCAGGCGTTTTCGACCAGTGGGCACGGCGAAAATGCTACGACAATGACACCTAACATACCGCTCCTGTTTGCTCTGCAGGTTAGTAGGCAAAAACTGTCGCACTCCGTTAAGGGCAATTACGTTTGTCTTGTTTTGCCGTGCCCACTGATGTGTCTGAAGCGGTCTCTTGAATTGTTGTTACTTCTTAGTGGAGACATAGAGCGTAACCCTGGTCCCATGTCTAAACCTGAAACCGATCGAGTCACTAGCGAAAATAGGGTCGCTTGTCAGCGAAATGCATTCCGGCCAAGCAAGCGTGTTGCTTCAGCTGAAAGAAATCAGGGACGAGCAAAAACGAACAAATGACTCGATAACCACTCTCACCGCGCGTGTTGAAATGATTGAAAGTGATCTCGCAAGTTGCAAATCGAAAATGAACTCGACAGACGAACTTGAGGCGAAATTCGAGTGTGTACTTTCGGAATTGGCCATTCTCAAGCGTCGTTCCGATGACGCAGAGTGTCGTTCCCGTCGATCCAACTTGCTTTTCTTTGGCATTAATGACTCGGCTAAAGAAACGTGGGCTCAATCGGAAAAGCTGGTTTTGGATGTGTGCTCAGATAAGCTTGACGTACGAATTGACCCTGCTACAATCGAACGGACTCACCGCATCGGGAAGTTCGACACCAGCAAGAAAAGGCCTATTGTTGTAAAGTTTTCCTTCTTTGAACATAAGGATGCAGTGCTGGGGTCGTGCTACAAGCTAAAAAATACGGGTATTTCTATCAGCGAGGATTTTTCACAAAATGTTCAACTTGCCAGAAAACGGCTGCATGAATTTGCTCATACCCAGGGGGTTGTTATAAACTTCGTGTCGACAAATTGTATATCGGCAGTAAGCAATTGTTGTTCGCCCATAACACAAACGAAGTTTATGAAGCCGCCTCCTAACTAACTAGAGATAGCGCGTTTGAATCTGTCCCCTCTGAGCTAAAAAAAGACGCCGGTAAGCACACGCGTAGTCTCCTTTCTTTGCCAAATGAGATTTCAGTTCTTTTTACTAACATAAGAAGCGTAGTCCGTAACCGCGATGACCTGTCAATACTTATTGATGCATCATCAAGCGATATTGTTGTTTTGACTGAAACGTGGCTGTTAAGTGCTGTCCGTGATAATGAAATTTTTGACTTTGTTAAATGCTACAATTTTTATCGGTGTGACAGAACAGATAGGCGTGGGAGAGGTGTTTTAATTGCAGTGAATAAAGCCATTGAATGTTATCACGTGAATATTGTTTCCCCGTTGGAACTTGTTTGCGTACGCCTACAGTGCGGTTATAGAAATATTATTTTGTGCGTTTGTTACCGTCCTTCCAACGCTCCTGCAAATTTTTGCTCGGATTTGCATGATGCTTTAATTATGATTTGCTCAACGTTCCCCTCGCACCCATGTTTTTACTAGGTGATTTTAATCTTCCCTTGATCAACTGGTGTGGACCGTTTCCCGCTGCATCTAGTAGCTCTCCTAATTAGTCGGATTTTATTAGTCTCTGTTCTGATTTTTCTTTTTCTCAATGTGTCACTGAGCCTACTCGGATTACTGATGCGACGGCCAATGTGTTAAACCTTATTCTTACAACTGACCCTAATCTCGCTTCTTCTATAACTTATTTACCGGGCATTAGCGATCATGCTATTTTGAATTTCAGAATGCAAGCTTCCTAGCATGTTGCTAACAAATCTACCAAACACTTTCTCGATTATAGCAAAGTAAATTTCGGTGCAATAAATAACGAGTTGGCTTGCTTTCTTAAAGAATTTCTGCCTGCGTTGTCAGAACGCACAATTGAGACTAATTGGAACATGTTTAAAAACAAAGTAAATTCTCTAATTAATTTATTCATTCCGTGTAGGAATATCGTATCTAACCATATGTGTCCCTCGTTTAATGTAACTCTTGAACGCCTTGCTAATAAGAAAAGAACGCCTTTTCCGTGCTGCAAAGTTGTCTGGCTTCGCTGACCGCTGGGAGCTTTATAAATCTGTTGGCATTGCTTATAAGGCAGCCATCAAGCAAGCAAAACTGACTTTTTTTTAATGTTACCCTTCCTTCAATGTTAGCAAATAGCCCTAAACAATTTTGGAGTGTTATGAACGGACCTAAAGGAATGGCTGTACCGCTCACTGATGTTGAGGGTATTGACATTCCCAAAGCTCAATGTGCATCCATTCTGAACGACGTCTTTGTCAAGGCGTTTACTGATAATGATGGTTTAGTTTATCTTATTTTTCCAGATTATGCTTTCTTTCCCATGGATCCGCTTCCTTTTGATTACGACGGGATTTTAAAGTTGATTGATAATTTGAAATTTTCTTCCTCGTGTTGTGTTGACAGCATTACCTCTAAATTTCTTAAGAACACTAAACACTACATGTCAATTTTTTCTTACAAAAATTTTTGAGCAGTCACTCAACCTTGGGGTCTTACCGGATGATTGGAAAAAAGGAAAGGTGGTTCCACTTTACAAGACAGGTAACAAACATACTCCTCTTAATTACAGACCCATTTCGTTAACCAGGACCCCCTGCAAACGTTTAGAGCACATTATTTATTCTCACTTAGTTAATTTCTTAGATTCAAATTCTTTCTTTTCACCCTCACAACATGGTTTTCGCAAATCTCTCTTGTGAGACTCAGCTTTTGTCTTTCACTAATGACCTACTTTCCATTCTTGACCGTGGGTCCCAGGTTGACTGCGTGTTTTTTGATTTCGCCAAAGCTTTTGACAAAGTTTCTCATAAATTGTTACTTTTTAAACTTAGCAAACTTAACATTGATCCCTATGTTTTGTCGTGGATTACATTTTTTCCTAACTAATCGATCTCAATATGTTTGTGCGAATGAAACTAATTTTTCCATTAGTCCTTTTACTTCTGGTGTCCCACAAGGTTCCGCTTTAGGACCTCTTTTGTTCCTTATTTTTATAAATGACTTACCACTGTGTGTATTATCCTCAATAAGTTTATTTGCCGATGACTGTGTAATTTATCGTGAAATAACTAACGATTCTGACGCAGCACTACTTCACTGTGTCCTGTGTGCTGTATCCGAATGGTGTAACTTATGGAAAATGACTCTTAACACTAACAAATGCAAATCCATGAGGGTTTCTCGTCGGAACACATTCCCATCACCATACTCAATTTCTAACAACCTACTGGAATCTGTGACGTCTTACAAATATTTTGGTGTTCACATTACTTCTAACGTTTCATGGAAATTACATACTGATCATATTATCGCTAACGCTAACTCTATGCTTGGATATCTGAAAAGAAACTTCTCTTCAGCCCCAATATTATTAAAATTGCTTCTGTACAAAACTCTAGTTCGTTCAAAATTAGAGTACGCCTCATCAATCTGGGACCCCGGTCAAACAACGCTTGTGACTAACGTTGAATCTGTTCAAAATCGTGGAGTACGTTTTATCTATTCTAACTATCATCGCACCGCTAGTGTATCATCTATGAAAACCTCATTGTCCCTGCCTCTTCTTTCTTTACGGCGAAAAATATCTCGTCTATGCCTTTTCTACAAAAATTTTCACTTCAACGCTTCACTAAAAGATAAGTTATTCCTTAACCCCGCATATATCTCTTCACGCATTGATCACCGTTTCAAGGTCGGCATTCCTCACTGTGAGACATCAGCATACAACGACTCGACCATACCAAGAACGTCTTCTGAGTAGAACCAACTTATGCAATCTTTAGCAGCTATCCTATCACTTGATTTATTTAAAGAAGCGATTAATCACTTTTGTTAATATTTTGTCGATTTCATTGTGTTTTAATCACTGCCTTTTACGTTTGTACTTTCTTTCGAGTGAATTCTTATATGCCCCACCCCCTCTTTAATGCCCTATGGGCCCTGAGGGTATTGAAATAAATAAATAAATAAATAAATCGCTCAAATGAGCTCATAAAAAAGAGGTCTCACCGAGATTTGAACTCGGATTGCTGGATTCAGAGTCCAGAGTGCTAACCGTTACACCATGAGACCCAGCCCTTCCGACGCCGGGAATCGAACCCGGGCCTCCTGGGTGAAAGCCAGGTATCCTAGCCACTAGACCACGCCGGAGCGGGAACACCTGAAAGACGGTTGCTTTTTATCCGCATCGGCACCAAACAGCTCAATTGAGCTCATCCAAAAGAGGTCTTACCGAGATTTGAACTCGGATTGCTGGATTCAGAGTCCAGAGTGCTAACCGTTACACCATGAGACCCAGCCCTTCCGACGCCGGGAATCGAACCCGGGCCTCCTGGGTGAGAGCCAGGTATCCTAGCCACTAGACCACGCTGTTTTTTTTTGTGGTTTTTTTGTGTTTTTTCTTTATTGCCGGCTTGGAATATAAACGTAGTTAAACAATCGCACAAAAATTGGCAGGTTAGAAGCATCCGGCCCGACCTAGCTGGCGCACATGGTTTAAAAGACTCTCAGGGCGACAAGACTGTCTAACACTGGCATCCAGTCAGGCTGCTCACTCTGTGCTTTGTACAATTCTCTTAAGTGAACAATATGCTCGATAAAGTAATCCCGCCCGGGGCGAGCATCGACGTCAGCATGTCGCACAGCCATCCTCGATTTCCACATGCTGTGCAGGGCCAAGGCCATCAACACCCAACCTTCCCGTAGAAAATGAAGGGAACGCCCCCTTCATTTTCTACGGGAAGAAAACGGATGCCATAGGGTGACACTAGGAGCCTCTTTTTTAAAGTACGCTGCATAATGTCCCAGTGGAATACCGCATCCCAGCAATCCAAGAAAATATGGTCGATAGTCTCGGGTTTCCGGCACAAGAGGCAGTTAATCGACCAAGGAACAAAAATGCCTTTTTCTTCAAGCCAGGGCTTGACGGGAAGCGTGCCGGTGTGCAGCTGAAAAAAGAAAGACTTCACGGCTGGCCTTACTGGCATCCGTTAAACCCTTTTGAGGACATCCTGGCCCGGGCCCTCACAGAAAAGAGACCGATACAAATGCACGAGGAAGACCACCTCAACTAAGTCTTTGTACAGGCGCTTTCGTGTAACTTCGCTTAAGTACTCCAACGAAAATCGAACCTTGAGAAAATAGAAAGCCAAAATCCCTTCGCGCAGAAAACCTCGCACCCGCGTACAACTGACATCACTCGAGGACACAACAAACTCAGACAATGAATTACCGAGCCTAAGATGTAATACAGTCCGCAGAAAAGGATCTCCCTGATCCCGCAGGAACATAAATCGTGACACCACTTGCCGCAGAAACAGATGAGCCCAGAGCTGGATGAGCCAGACCTAGCCCGCCACTTTTCACAGAGCGGAACAAATTTGTACGACCGGTGCGCTCCCACACCGACCCCCACAAAAAAATCGCGAACACTCGGTGGAACTTTTGAACGCTGACTCTAGACATACACAAAGCCTGGAGCACGATAAACAAATTACAAACTGTGGAGCGGGCGAACGTTGAAAGATGTACACCCCCCCCCCCCCCCCCCCTTTGCCGTTTTTTCCCGAGCCCCCTCGACTTCTTCCCTCCAGTAGTCAGTAGAATCGCGGAATCACGGTAGTGCTCAAGCGACACTCCGAGGTACTTGCCCGGCAAACAAGACCAAGTAATTATTTCAAAAACAGCTTGTGTACTTTCCCAGCTACCATGCCAGAAGCCCACGCATTTATCCCAATTAATAACACTGCCCCAAAAATTTACAAAAATTAAGTGCTTCTTTGACTACCTAGCAAACACTTTCTTTGTCGTCGCAGAAGACGGCAATGTCGTCTGCATACGAAAGTACCTTGACTTCGCTCGACAACAACCTAAAACCGCATATTCTTTCATTAAAAAGGAGTTTTAAACAAAAAGGCTCTAAATAGAGAGCAAACAACAATGGAGATAATGGGCACCCTTGCCGTACCGAGGAGAGAGCTTGAAAACTTTGAGTAACTTTCTCATTAACAATCATACTCGCAAAACACTCCGCGTAGGACATTTTAACCCATTCCAACAATAAAGACCCAACGTTCACGTGCTCTAAAATACAAGAAAGGACGTCGCGTACTACTCTATCGAACGCCTTATCCAAATCAAGCTACGCGACCTTCGAAAGCATCACAGCATTCCAAGATACTTCTTGCTACGTGTATGTTAGTTGCAATCGTTCGCCCCTTGATGCCACATGTTTGGTGGGGCCCGACGATAGATTGTATTGCACCTTGCAGCCTTCGCGCTAAGACCTTCATGACGATTTTATAGTCTACGTTTGTTAGGCTAATGGAACGGTAGGACTTAACAGACAAGAGTTTCGCGGGATCATCACTTTTGGGGATTAATACTATATGCGTTTTCCGGAAGGATGGAGGCACTGCTTTTCTATCGTACGCCTCAGCTATCGTGCAGTGCAGGACCTCCGCCACATCAGCTTTGAAAGCCTTGTAGAAGGCGGCACCTAAGCCGTCGGGACGGGGCGATTTCCCTGGATTCAGCTCGTCGATAGCCTTCTCTATTTCTCTCACGCTAATCGGTGCCTCAAGGCCGGCTTTAATTTCAACATCTAATTTTGGCATGAGTGGCAAAAGGACGCTGGCAAATCCTTCTTCCACGTGTCTGCGGCGACCCAAAAGATTTTGATATTCCACGAAGGCTAGTTCGATGGTCTTTTTATCGCGAGTCACCACGGCCCCACGCTCTATTTCTTTTATTTCATTTTGCGTCGCATATCTTTTTTCATTCCCAAGTGAACGCTTCGTCGGCGTTACACCCAACCACAGACGTTCGGCGCGGGCTCTTATCATGGCTCCTCTATATTTTTCGATATCGACAAGCTCCAGTTTACTTTTAACTTCTTTTATTTCCTTCGTAAACTTTCCGGGTTGTGCACATTCAACGCTTAACAGAAAATCTAGCTGACACTGTAGCTCTTTTTCTTTTTTCTTTTCCTGGCGGCGTAAGATACACGATCTTTCAACCGCGCTCTTTTTGACTTCATCTTTAAAGTGCTCCCAGAGTTCAACAGAGTTTCCCGACTCAGCCTCCAGCAATTTCCCAATGCTTTGTTTTACCCCGTCCATTAAAATCTCATCTCTTACTAGCTTATCATTAAATTTCCATAATTCCCAGTTGAACTGCGATTTTGTTTCCTTCAATCCGATTGAAAATATTACCAGGCTATGATCGCTGAAAGAAACGTGTTTCACTTCGTAATTCTCGTACAGGGGAACCAGGGCTGCGGAGATATACGCTCTGTCTAACCTCGCATGACTCTCGCGTTGGAAGTGTGTAAACTGGGGAAAATCTGTCTTCAACAAAACAAACCCGTCGTCCTCTAAATTGCACTCCTGCACTAACGAGTTCAAAAATAAAGCACTCTGGTCCCGAAGCGGCAGCTGTCGCGCCCTGTCTTCTATTGCGCAGACGCAGTTAAAATCACCAAAAAAAATAACGAAATCTTTCACAGTTTAGGTAAGATTCAACGCGTCAAAAAACATTCTCCTACCACTCTCCCGGTTTGGCGCATAAACGCAGATAGGTCGCCACTGCAACCCCGAAAAAGAAAAATCACAAACAATCAAGCGACCTGATTCACAAACAATCACTGTTTCTTCCACAATTCCCAAAGAATTGCGCAAAAAAAGAGCACAACCCCCTGATGTACCAACGGAGTGGCACACACATACATTGTATCCCGATCTGAAAGTTGCACCATGCGGTCCGTTTGCTCTTCGCCTTCCACCTTTGTCTCTTGGACAGCGACTACGTCAAGGTCGTTTTCCAGGAAAAGGCGGCTCAGCTGGTACTGCCGCCGTCTTGCTCCCAGGCCTCGCACGTTCAGCGTGGCGAGGCGAAGCGCTGTCTCAAGGCTTACTGCCATCAAAAACTAGATCAAACGGGCCGCATAATGCTCAGCTCAAGTCGCTGAAAAACGACGACAGACTCACAGTCCCGGTGTGCCGCCCGGTGGGTCCGACGAGAGGGTTCGCCGAAAGTTCGGGCCACAAAGCGGCGGCACGAGGATATCGTCCCCTCTGAGTCCTGTCGGTTTCCAGTTCGAGAAGAGGTGCCTAACAAAAAAAGAATCATCGCTCCTACGGGGGCGGTGTCGCCGGTGGTCGCCTCTCCGGAGGGATGTTGGGCTTAGGCTTGAGGCTGGCCCAACGCACAGGAGCCGCTTTTCGGGGCGGTTCCTCGGGAAGGGCCGCACTTACGATTAGACCTTCGTCGACGTCTTCGCGAGCCCGCTTGGGGACTGCGCCGCTGGAGCCTGCCTCCTCGACGCTCATGGCTTCCGACTCCTCGCTGGGCGTCGCCGCCACAGCCGAAACTGCGGTCTCTGTGACACCTTTCGAAGCAGGGGTATCGCCCACAGGCTGCGCCTCAGGCCGAAGGCGTCGCTCACCGCCGCTCCCGCTGTCGGCTCTGCCCCCGGTAGAAAGCTCGGTGGGCGTCGCCTCTGTGGGAGGCTCGCCACCTTCGCCGCCGGCTGCTTCTTGGGACTCGACCACATCCATGAGTAACTCGGACGTGTCCTCATTCCCCACGGGCCCCGTGACGCTTGCGTACGTCCTTACGCACTGGCTGTCTTCGTGGCCGAAGCGCCGACAAAGAGCATAACGCGGCACACGACACTCTGGGCGAATTTGGCCTTTCCCTCGGCACCGGAGGCACAGCGGCGCCCTGCCCGGTACAACCACGAGCGCCAGGTCCCCAGCGACGCGCAGCTGATGAGGGAGGGAGTCCACGGTGAGTACAGCCTTGAGCCTGATGGACACAGAGCGCGTCGTGGACCAGATGCCGGCGCACCCCTGGGCCCGCCACACGTCTCTGGCGACTTCCGTTACCTTTCCGTAGGGCGCCAAGGCTACTCGCACTTCGTCGTCCGGGACGTGGTGCAGCAGCCAGTGGAGCTTCAGACGCGTGTCCTGGTTGCTTGGGTCGACAACGACGCACCGACCCTCCTTGACTGTGAAGTCCCCGGCGGCGAGCAGTTTTTTCTTGCCCTCGACACTCTTGAAAGTGACGGCCCAAACGTGGTTGTACTGGTACGCCCCCAAGGCGACCACCTCGGGGAGCAGCGCCAGGCCAACCAGGCCGTCACGAAAATGTTCCAGGCGGTATGGCCTCATGGTCACATCGGCGTGCAAAAAAGCAGTATTCAAAATTGTTGTACCTGTTGGAAGCGTTGGCAGGATAACTTGGTAGTCCTGTTCGGCAGAAGCCATGTTCCTGTTACCGTGGCCAGCGGCCGCTGAACCCGCTCCGACGGAGCTCATGCTCACACGTCCTTTCGCTTCGGCGGCCGGAAGTGGAATCCTAGACCACGCCGGAACGGGAACGCCTGAAAGACATTTGTTTTATATCCGCAGCGCCACTAAATAGCTCAAATGAGCTCATAAAAAAGTGTCTTTCAAGATGACTAAAAAAAACACTTAAAACTGTAAAACTTAAAACTTTTCTGTTACTTCTGCTCTTCTAAAAAAAAAAAAAAAAAAAAAACAGTCTCAGGGTAAACGACGAAATGATTTGTTTTATATCCCCAGCGCCACCAAATAGCTCAAATGCCGTCATAAAAAAGAGGTCTCACCGAGATTTGAACTCGGATTGCTGGATTCAGAGTCCAGAGTGCTAACCGTTATACCACGAGACCCAGCCCTTCCGACGCCGGGAATCGAACCCGGCCCTCCTGGGTGAAGGCCAGGTATCCTAGCCACTAGACCACGCCGGAACGTGAACACCTGAAAGACATTTCTTTTATATCCGCAGCGCCACCAAAAAGCTCAAATGAGCTCATAAAAAAGAGGTCTCACCGATATTTGAACTCGGATTGCTGGATTCAGAGTCCAGAGTGCTAATCGTTACACCATGAGACCCAGCCCTTCCGACGCCGGGAATCGAACCCGGGCCTCCTGGGTTCGATTCTACGTTTACGGCTACGTTTACATGGCCAGGTATCCTAGCCACTAGACCACGCCGGAACGTGAACACCTGAAAGACATTTCTTTTATATCCGCAGCGCCACCAAAAAGCTCAAATGAGCTCATAAAAAAGAGGTCTCACCGAGATTTGAACTCGGATTGCTGGATTCAGAGTCCAGAGTGCTAATCGTTACACCATGAGACCCAGCCCTTCCGACGCCGGGAATCGAACCCGGCCCTCCTGGGTGAAGGCCAGGTATCCTAGCCACTAGACCACGCCGGAACGTGAACACCTAAAAGACATTTCTTTTATATCCGCAGCGCCACCAAAAAGCTCAAATGAGCTCTTAAAAAAGAGTTCGCACCGATATTTGAACTCGGATTGCTGGATTCAGAGTCCAGAGTGCTAATCGTTACACCATGAGACCCAGCCCTTCCGACGCCGGGAATCGAACCCGGGCCTCCTGGGTGAAAGCCAGGTATCCTAGCCACTAGACCACGCCGGAACGTGAACACCTGAAAGACATTTCTTTTATACCCGCAGCGCCACCAAAAAGCTCAAATGAGCTCATAAAAAAGAGGTCGCACCGATATTTGAACTCGGATTGCTGGATTCAGAGTCCAGAGTGCTAATCGTTACACCATGAGACCCAGCCCTTCCGACGCCGGGAATCGAACCCGGGCCTCCTGGGTGAAGGCCAGGTATCCTAGCCACTAGACCACGCCGGATTTTTTTTTTCTTTATTGCCGGTTTGGAACATAAACGTAGTTAAACAATCGCACAAAAATTGGAAGGTTAAAAGCATCCGGCTCGGCCTAGCCGGGGCACGTGGTTTAAAAGACTCTCAGGGCGACAAGACTGTCTAACACTGGCTACGTTTACATGGATGCGACAGCGGCGCATCGGATCCAGTTAGCGAATCGGATCCACTTTAACCACTACGTTTACATGGATTCGGATCGACCAGCAGCGGCACCTGGTGTCGAAGGTCACAACGCAAACCTCGTGACCTTCAGATTGTTTCCGAGGTGTCCGGTTTGCCTGGCGGCAGGCAAAGCAAAGCTCCCGTAATCCCTCGCTCGAGCACTCGATCCGATTCGCTAGCGTATACATGGACACTCTCGATTCGGATTGACCATCTCAAACCACCCCGTCCCAGCGGATCGGATCGCATCTTATCCGATTCGATCCGAGCTGTTTACATGGACCGATTCGATTCGTTAACTGGATTCGATGCGCTGCAGTCGCATCCATGTAAACGTAGCCACTGGAATCCAGTCAGGCTGTTCACTCTGTGCTCTGTACAATTCTCTTAAGTGAACAATATGCTCGATAAAGTAATCCCGCACGGGGCGAGCATCGACGTCAGCATGTCGCAGAGCCATCCTCAATTTCCACATGCTGTGCAGGGCCAAGGCCATAAACATGTCGTAGGGAACGCCCCCTTCATTTTCTACGGGAAGAAAACGGATGCCATAGGATGACACTGGGAGACTCTTTTTTAAAGTACGCTGCATAATGTCCCAGTGGAATAGCGCATCCCAGCAATCCAAGAAAATATATGATCGATAGTCTCGGGTTTCCGGCACAAGAGGCAGTTAATCGACCAAGGAACAAAAATGCCTTTTTCTTCAAGCCAGGGCTTAACGGGAAGCGTGCCGGTGTGTAGCTGAAAAAAGAAAGACTTCACGGTTGGCCTTACTGGCATCCGTTTAACTCTTTCGAGGACATCCTGGCCCGGGCCCTCACAGAAAAGAGACCTATACAAAGGCACAGGGAAGACCACCTCGACTAAGTCTTTGTACAGGCGCTTTCGTGTAACTTCGCTTAAGTACTCCAACGAAAATCGAACCTTGAGAAAATGGAAAGCCAAAATCACTTCGCGCAGAAAACCTCGAACCCGCGTACATCTGACATCACGCGAGGACACAACAAACTCAGACACTGCATTACGGAGCCTAACTTGTAATACAGTCCGCAGAAAAGGATCCCCCTGATCCCGCAGGAACATAAATCTTGACACCACTTGTCGCAGAAACAGATGAGCCAGTCCTAGCCCGCCACTTTTCACAGAGCGGAACAAATTTGTACGACCGGTGCACTCCCACACCGACCCCCACACAAAAATCGCGAACACTCGGTGAAACTTTTGAACGCTTACTCTAGACATACACAAAGCCTAGGGCACATACCAGACTTTAGCAACGATAAACAAATTACAAACTGTGGAGCGGGCAAACATTCAAAGATTTAGACCCCCCCCCCCCCCCCCCCCCCACTTTGCCGTTTTATCCCGAGCCCTCTCGACTTCTTCCCTCCAGTACTCAGTAGAATCGCGGTAGTGCTCAAGCGGCACTCCGAGGTACCTGCCCGGCAAACAAGACCAAGTAACTCTTTCAAAAACAGCTGGTGTACTTTCCCAGCTACCATGCCAGTAGCCCACGCACTTATCCCAATTAATAACACTGCCCCAAAAATTTACAAAAATTAAGTGCTTCTTTGACTACCTCGCAAACACTTTCTTTGTCGTCGCAGAAGACGGCAATGTCGTCTGCATACGAAAGTACCTTGACTTCGCTCGACAACAACCTGAAACCGCATATTCTTTCATTAAAAAGGAGTTTTAAACAAAAAGGCTCTAAATAGAGAGCAAACAACAATGGAGATAATGGGCACCCTTGCCGTACCGAGGAGAGTACTTGAAAACTTTCAGTAACTTTCTTATTAAGATTCACACTCGCAAAACACTCCGCGTAGGACATTTTAACCCATTCCAACAATAAAGACCCAACGTTCACGTGCTCTAAAAATACAAAAAAGGACGTCGTGTGCTACTCTATCGAACGCCTTTTCGAAATCAAGCTGCAACATGGATACGCGACCTTCGAAAGCATCACAACATTCCAAGATACTTCTTACTACGTGTATCTTAGTTGTAATCGTTCGCCCCTTGATGCCACATGTTTGTGGGGCCCGACGATAGATTTTATTACACCTTGCAGCCTTCGCGCTAAGACCTTCACGACGATTTTATAGTCAACGTTTGTTAGGCTAATGGGACGGTAGGACTTAACAGACAACAGTTTCACGGGATCATCACTTTTGGGGATTAATACTATATGCATTTTCTGGAAGGATGGAGGCACTGCTTTTCTATCGTACGCCTCCGCTATCGTGCGGTGCAGGACCTCCGCCACATCAGCTTTGAAAGCCTTGTAGAAGGCGGCACCTAAGCCGTCGGGACCGGGCGATTTCCCTGGATTCAGTTTGTCGATAGCCTTCTCTATTTCTCTCACGCTAATCGGTGCCTCAATGTCGGCTTTAATTTCGTCATCTAATTTTGGCATGAGTGGCAAAAGGACGCTGGCAAATGCTTCTTCCACGTGTCTGCGGCGACCCAAAAGATTTTGATAATATTCCACGAAGGCGCGTTCGATGGTCTTTTTATCGCGAGTCACCACGGCCCCATGCTCTATTTCTTTTATTTCAGTTTGCGTCGCATATCTTTTTTCATTCCCAAGTGAACGCTTCGTCGGCGTTTCACCCAACCACAGACGCTCGGCGCGGGCTCTTATCACGGCTCCTCTATATTTTTCGACATCGATAAGCTCCAGTTTACTTTTAACTTCTTTTATTTCTCTCGTAAACTTTCCGGGTTGTGCACATTCAACGCTTAAAAGGAAGTCTAACTGACACTGTAGCTCTTTTTCTTTTTTCTTTTCCTGGCGGCGTAAGATACACGATCTTTCAATCGCGCTGATTTTGACTTCATCTTTAAAGCGCTCCCACAGTACAACAGAGTTTCCCGACTCAGCCTCCAGCAATTTCCCAATGCTTTGTTTTACCGTCCATAAAAATATCATCTCTTTGTAGCTTATCATTAAATTTCCACAATTCCCAGTTGAACTGCGATTTTGTTTCTTTCGATCCGATTGAAAATATTACCAGACTATGATCACTGAAAGAAACGTGTTTCACTTCGTAATTTTCGCACAGGGGAACCAGGGCTGCGGAGATATACGCTCTGTCTAGCCTCGCATGACTCTCGCGTTGGAAGTGTGTAAACTGGGGAAAATCTGCCTTCGATAAAACAAACCCGACGTCCTCTAAATTGCACTCCTGCATTAACGAGTTCAAAAATAAAGCACTCTGGTCCCGAAGCGGCAGCTGTCGTGCCCTGTCTTCTATTGCGCAGACGCAGTTAAAATCACCCGAAAAAATAACAAATCTTTCACAGTTTAGATAAGATTCAACGCGTTCAAGAAACATTCTCCTATCACTCTCCCGGTTTGGCGCATAAACGCAGATAGCTCGCCACTGCAACCCCGAAAAAGAAAAATCACAAACAATCAAGCGGCCTGATTCACAAACAATCACTGTTTCTTCCACAATTCCCATAGAATTACGCAAAAAAAAAAAAGAGCACAACCCCCTGATGTGCCAACGGAGTGGCACACACATTCATTGTATCGCGATCTGAAAGGTTGCACCATGCGATCCGTTTGCTCTTCGCCTTCCACCTTTGTCTCTTGGAAAGCGACTACGTCAAGGTCGTTTTCCAGGAAAAGGCGGCTCAGCTGGTACTGCCGCCGCCTTGCTCCCAGGCCTCGCACGTTCAGCGTAGTGACGCGAAGCGCTGTCTCAAGGCTTACTGCCATCAAAAACTAGATCAAACGGGCCGCATGGTGCACAGCTCAAGTCGCTGAAAAACGACGACAGACTCACAGTCCCGGTGTGCCGCCCGGTGGGTCCGACAAGAGAGTTCGCCGAAAGTTCGGGCCACAAAGCGGCGGCACGAGGACATCGTCCCCTCAAAGTTTTGTCGGTTTCCAATCCGAGAAGAGGTGCCCAACAAAAAACGGGTTATCGCACCTACGGGGGTGGTGCCGCCGGTGGTCGCCTCTCCGGAGGGATGTTGGGCTTAGGCTTGAGGCTTGCCCGACGCACAGGAGTCGCTTTTCGGGGCGGTTCCTCGGGAAGAACCGCACTTACGATTAGACCTTCGTCGACGTCTTCGCGAGCCCGCTTGGGGACTGCGCCGCAGGAGCCTGCCTCCCCGACACTCATGGCTTCCGACTCCTCGCTGGGCGTCGCCGCCACAGCCGAAACTGCGGTCTCTGTGACACCTTTCGAAGCAGGGGTACCGTCCACAGGCAGCGCCTCAGGATGACGGCGTCGCTCAACGTCGTTCCCGCTGTCGGCTCTGTCCCCGGCGGAAAGCCCGGTGGGCGTCGCCTCTGTAGGAGGCTCGCCACCTTCGCCTCCGGCTGCTTCTTGGGACTGGACCACATCCATGAGTAGCTCGGACGTCTCCTCATTCCCCACGGGCCCCGTGACGCTAGCGTACGTCCTTATGCACTGGCTGTCTTCGTGGCCAAAGCGCCGACAGAGAGCACAACGCGGCACACGACACTCTCGACGAATGTGGCCTTTCCCTCGGCACCGAAGGCACAGCGGCGCCCTGCCCGGTACAACCACGAGCGCCAGGTCCACAGCGACGCGCAGCTGATGAGGGAGGGAGTCCACGGTGAGTCCGGCCTTTAGCCTGATGGACACCGAGCGCGTCGTGGACAACATGCCGGCGCACCCCTGGGCCCGCCACACGTCTCTGGCGACTTCCGTCACCTTTCCGTAGGGCGCCAAGGCCACTCGCACTTCGTCGTCCGGGACGTGGTGCAGCAGCCAGTGGAGCTTCAGCCGCGTGTCCTGGTTGCTTGGGTCAACAACGACGCACCGTCCTTCCTTGACTGTGAAATCTCCGGCGGCGAGCAGTTTTTTTCTTGCCCTCGACACTCTTGAAGGTGACGGCCCAAACGTGGTTGTACTGGTATGCCCCCAAGGCGAGCACCTCGGGGAGCAGCGCCAGGCCAACCAGGGCGTCACGAAAATATTCCAGACGGTATGGCCTCATGGTCACATCGGCGTGCAAAAAAGCAGTATTCAAAATTGTTGTACCTGTTGGAAGCGTTGGCAGGATAACTTGGTAGTCCTGCTCGGCAGAAGCCATGCATGTTCCTGTTACCGCGGCCAGCGGCCGCTGAACCCGCTCCGACGGAGCTCATGCTCACACGTCCTTTCGCTTCGGCGGCCGGAAGTGGAATCCTAGACCACGCGGGAACGAGAACACCTGAAAGACGTTTGTTTGATATCCGCAGCGCCACCAAAAAGCTCAAATGAGCTCATAAAAAAGAGGTCTCACCGAGATTTGAACACGGATTGCTGGATTCAGAGTCCAGAGTGCTAATCGTTACACCATGAGACCCAGCCCTTCCGACGCCGGGAATCGAACCCGGGCCTCCTGGGTGAAAGCCAGGTATCCTAGCCACTAGACCACGCCGGAACGAGAACGCCTGAAAGACATTTGTTTGATATCCGCAGCGCCACCATATAGCGCAAATGAGCTCATAAAAAAAGTGGTCTCACCGAGATATGACCTCGGATTGCTGGATTCAGAGTCCGGAGTGCTAATCGTTACACCATGAGACCCAGCCCTTCCGACGCCGGGAATCGAACCCAGGCCTCCTGGGTGAAAGCCAGGTATCCTATAGCCACTAGACTACGCCGGAACGGTCGCCCTAGACTGTTTGCTCGCCTTTTCCCACGCGACAACACAACACATGCGCACGCGACCAATCTGAGCTGAAGCCGTCTCCGTGGTTTCAGTTTTGCTTGCTCCCTCTTTTAAATCTAGGCCCTCTAAAACAGAATAGATACACGGAAAAATGGATGCATAGCGGCAGTTGGACGGTGTCTTGCGCCACCTAACCACGTTTTTTTTTCTTACTTCAGATTGTATTGTTTAAGCCTCTTTACTCAAATTGAACATCTATCGTTTTATTTATGTGAAATAAAATCCCAGGTTCCCTTTTTCTTCCTTAAAATGGAAACCAAATATCGCAAAATGCCCCTTTTTTGAGATATACAAATATTTATTAAAAAAAGTCGCGGTGTTAGGTTGTGCTTTTAACAAGAAAAAAAGGCATGCGTGAATGTAACTTTGGTTTTGTGTGACATTTAGGGTGGACAAATTATATTTGTGCCATAAAATTGGATCTTTAGTAGTCTTGTGCGAATAGTGGATTTTGTGCTCGAAGCGAATTCGAAGCAAATAGTGGTTTTGGCAGAATATTTTCGAATCGAATATCGAATAGTTTTTCCACGCCTTTCACTACCATAACATAATGCTCAGACAAAACCCCAGCGAAGCTTGTGAAGGTTGTTCCACTTATTCATTTATAAGCCTAGCTTAATCTATCTATATTTATGAAGTAAACAACAAGTTTGACATAAAATGAATCCAATGGAAATGGATAAACTATACCCAAATGAGTGAATTTACAAATCTTAAATATTCTTTCTTTAATTTCGAGTTAAAAAATAACGACTCGCGCATGATGAACGCAGGTTGTAAGGGCATCTCTGCCCAACATATACTCTTGCAAAACAGTCAGTTTAATTTTAACTTTAACTGCAATGTAGATACTGTAAAACCCTTAATGTTCACGAGCCCTTAATTTCCGCGAATATCGCGAATTAAAAAATTCGCTATACTTAAAGGCACGCGAAAATTTCGGTCTTCAAGAATTTTAATGCAGGTATCTGGAATTCGCGAACTTTAGTGGCCGCGATATGTCCTCTGTGACCGATTCGCGAAAAATAGGGGCCCCGAAAATAAAGGATTTTACAGTATACACATTCACAAAGTTTACATTTATTTTCATGTACAGCCGGCACGCGTGCACCATCCCGCTTTGAATGTATGGTTTTCGTCCAAGCACGCAACTGCGATATTCATACTTTTCCAAATGTTTGTCGCGGCGGGTTACTCCGTTGAGTGCGCTTTTTACTAAGCACCCATGTAATGCGGAGAAGCAAACACCGCGGAGCTTGCTTCTGTGGGTATTGTTTCTCCGTAGTGCCCCGGTGCTCGGTAAGAAGCGCACTCAACGGGGCTAACCCACCGCAATCAAAACTTCGAAAAACGCGAATAGTGAAGTTCTTCTCGAAACGAATATCGAATAGAGTATTATTCGGAACTACTATTCGGAATTTCGAATATTCGCAAAACCCTAATCTTTAGTGCCCAACATCCAACAACAACTGCTTTTATTTTTTTTTCACCAGAATTTGTTTACATTTTAGCTTTTGTTTTGTACAAGATGCATATTCTGCATCAGGCGCATACTCTGCACATATAATAATCTCATTCGCAGCACACTTAGAAAAAATCCTACAAATAAAATCACTATTTAATATTCGATTCGATATTCGGCTTTTTTTTTCTTGATTCGATTCGGTATTCGATTCGAAAACTACTATTCGGTATTCGCACACCCCTAAAAATTATATTAATTGCGGGTAAAGCATATGGTGCTATTAAAATCGTTACATTTGACAATCGGCAAAACTTCAAAAGTCGCCGCCAATCCTTTCTAACCAAATGCCCCCCCCCCCCCCCCCCGAATAAACAAAGAAACAACACACACAACAACAAAAAAACGCAATCCGCACCTCTTTTTTTTTTTTAATTACCAATTTTTCCAGAACATTTAGTTTCTTTACTTTTTACGCAACTTCGTATTGCCATTTTCAGCCTCTCCAGTTCGAAGGAACGCCTACCGACTTGCACATCTGCTCACTGCAGCACGTTTCCTTGGCGTTAGAACCCGTTGAAACAGTAGCGAGCTTAGTATTGCGTACACGAGCGAACGCAAGCACTAATGTGTATGCGTTAGCTTTGCGTGTGCCACACTGCGCGTGCGAGGAGCCCGAAAATTCCGGTTTTGAAGCATGGCGACAAGGCGCATGCGCAGCGTGAAACACGCAACTCTAACGCAAACGCACAGCGCTTACGTTTGCTTCTAAACGCAATGCTAAAACTCCAATAATCTACGACCCCAGACCGGCTACAGTACTACATCGAGGCAGTGAAAAGTGTTGTTTGCATTCGGAAATGACATTTCGCGAGTCACGATCGCGAGCAGTTCCGCTGCGCCCGCTGAGCAGGAGAACCGGGGGACCCACATCGCAGAAAGTCCATCCTTGTAATAGTGGTACCCTTTACAGAGTTTAATTTGTTTGCCACCAATTATGACGCAATTACAGCTTTAGAACAAGCGGAGATGTGTGCCCGGCAGCTCTCAACTTGATGTCGAATTCGTGAAAGCTTCCAGGGCATCAACATTCGCATACTTCTTCTAAAATTTATTGACTGCATTAGACCACCACCAAGCATTATCATCGTCCGATCGCATTTCTGTGGCATAAAGAACTATTCCATGACAGACGAACAACGGAAAGCGCTGCGTAACTTGTGAAAAAGAACTCAATTCACAACAAAATGTCATATGCTTTGTATCTCTAAAAACCGTTTTTGAGGAAAATATGTTTCTATGGAATGAAAATTTAGCAAAATTTATGATTACCCTTAAGAGATATGTAACCTCAATTAATTTCAGCAACTGCAAAAAAAAATTCATGCTAAAACAAGTTGCATCGTGAAAGTCGCATGGTGAATCGCATGACCAGTTATTACAAGCCCTCCTCTCTCAAGTGACTGTGTGGCGGTTAAGAAACAACAGACAATAATCTTCGGTAGCGGTGTCGGTCCGGAAAATATCGTCACTGCAACGATATAAAAAGACACCAAAACTAAAACATTTATATAAGGCGGTTAACACAGAAGAGCCAATAGAAGCCCGCTATTCGGCTACATGATCGCGGCTTTTCCCGTGCATTGAACACAACTAATTATATATTAGCTTTTTTCTAGAACAGTCGACCTTTAATTCCTATCTAGTTTCGTCTCCTTTTTGGGTGTGCCTTTTAATACGCTGAACTGACTTCTTACATTCAAAAATGGTCGGCAGGGCGTCGGGTTCAGGCGAGCCTTCTTCAGACACAAACCCATATGTACATTGTTTTCAAATTCGCCGTCCGGAACACATTCCGAACAAAACACAGTGTACTTGCTCAAACTCGTCTGCTTGCATAGCGGGAACCGATCCCTTTGAAATCTCGGTGTCGGAGTGAAAAGGGGTGTAAGCGGGAAGGACAACTGCGACGAGCGGTGTTCGTCCAAGCCGACGGCTACACATGAGTATACGGCATCGCGCAAGAGCGCGAGTCAGTTGCTTTGATGCCCCGAGAATTCTGCAAAGCTGGGAACAATCAAGGGAACAATCAAAAAGTCAGGCGAATGAGTCAAGAGCACAACTGCTCAGCTGATAAAAGCAAGCTCGAAAAATCAGTAGAGCAGCCTATTTATAGGGAAGGGTGGCCAGCCGCGTCGGAATCCCCAGCCGGATATCGGCTCACGGGCTTCCTCCTCTCTCCCCTTTCTTTCTGCTTCAGAGGGGCGTGGCTTTAGCGCTACTTTGAATGCGCTTTTCCGGTTAATCCGCGCATAAACTTACTAAAGGAATACAATATTCGTGATGAGTGAGCTCTAATTAACAAGGTTTGAGTGTTTCTTTCATATTTAAAACCGCTTCAGAATTTCTTTAATACCCCCCCCCCCCCCCTTCCCTCGTTTTCCATCCTCGCTTCTTGAAAAGTGTGGACAAGAGCGCTGCGAGGAACAACACAAGTCCTTGCGCATTGGGCCTTTACCATTCCACATAACTTGTCCTGAGACTACCGCATTGCGTCCGTCACCTAAAGAGCTACTAACAAGTTATTGCACTTAAAATTACTTTAAATAATTATCCTTGACGTTAAATTACATGCGCGTAATACAGTCATCCGGCTCACAATGAAATATACTGTCTTTTGGGGCCCTTACATAAGTTGTAGATACAACAATGAGGAATGGTGTAAAGAAAGACTCAAAGTTATTACTTCAATAAGTTTTAACGACAAAATTGCCTATTGAAGGACCAAACATACTGTACTTAATTGTTCTCACAGACTGTGCGGTGAAGGGATAGATTGAAAACCTATATTCATACGCGTATCAACATTGACAACCTCTCTAGCGCCTCCTCAAAAACTACCTCTAGAGCTTCGCATTCACGAAGCATAAATAACATTCGGCTTGGCACCAATTGCTGTAAAAGTTTTTTTTTTCCTCGTAAGATATCGGATTGTAGGAACAACGGCTCCTGTCTTTGCGTTCATGGGGCACTCAGCTAGTTAGTCCCAGAGGCTATCAAATGGTCGTGTTGTTGCTACGAAGCGGATCGGGAGGGCTAAGTAGCCTTCCTTCGTCCTATTTTATCTCCTGCAAGAGATGACGCTATCAAAAGACGCTGTTCTCCCAAGAGCCGATTGCAATTAAGACGTCTCCTGAGCAGACAGTCCCAAGTACGCATGCGTGGCATGGTCGCGTGGCGATTAGAAAAGCAGGTGGAGAGGCGAAAAAGCTTTGAGACCACCGACTCACCGCCTCGCAGCTCGTGTGGCAAACGCGGACCCTAAACCACGAGATCGCAATCGATCAGTAGGAAACACCTTCAAAAGGACGCGCAGATATATGGTGTTTTGACGACCGACACCGGCGGGGACGATAACTGTCGGCCCGCCCTCCTTGCACACCGCGTGGCGCGGACAACTGTCTTGCCACCGT